GTGTGTGTGTGTGTGTGTGTGTGTGTGTGTGTGTGTGTGTGTGTGATTGGCTGGAAAAAGGGGGAGGGTGAGGTGTAAGGAGCAGCGAGGGGAGGGACGGGGGGGAGACAGACAAATTGATGGATGAATAAGAAGTGGGAGGACATCATTTCCTCCAGCTGGCTCTGTGTTTCTACATATTTACACATTGCGATTAACAGACGGTACGCCATGTCGGAGGCAGAGGTGGCTGATGGGAGATTTGTGACATCACAGCGAAGCCGACGAGCAGTAATTTTCAGCATCTAAAAGGTTGAACTCAAAGAAGACATTTCCTGACATAAAACACAATGACGGACGACGCGTGTCTCGTGCTGCCGGTCGTCTTTTAGATTCTCAAAAATATAAATATACTGCAAAACATGCAGTGTGTTCAGCAGAGAGCTTGTTTTGGTTAGCTTACCTTGAAAACAGACGTGTAGGCTGCATTTCAAAAGCCTCGGCCTAGTGCCAGACATCAGACACGCAGCCTGCATCTCTAAAAAAGGTCTGGGGAGGTGTGCTCATTGATTCATGGGAGAGAAACAATCAACCAATCAGAGCTCTGTATGCAGGATTAAGCGTGAGGACGTCATCTTCCTGCAGACGTAGCGAGCTAGCCTCCTAAATACATCCATCAAACGGATGATCGGCGTAGACGACACTGACACAGCTGCACAGACAAACTGAATAACAACTCCTAAATATGCATGTTTTTTGTTTTTTTCTAATCATAGTGAAAAACGTAAACTGTGCTTACCAACCGCTACCACAGCATCTGGGTTAGCTGAGAGTGGCTACTGATTGGCCGGAGCAATCTTAAATCAGTCTGCATATCAGGCTGAAGATTTGTAGGTATAAAGTAAATCACAAATTTGCCTCAGAGGGCTTTAACAACATAGGACATCCTCTGTCCCGGGACCCTCATATCGGAACAGGAACTCCCCAAAATAAAACCTGTAACGGGGAGAAAGTAAAGGAAGAAACCTCACAGAGAGCAACAGAGGAGGGAACCCTCTCCAAGATGAACAGGAATGTGATAGCTGTCATGTTCACAGACGCAAAACATAAGAAACAAAAAAGCTTCCCAGTTAAAGTTGCTCGATACTTGTTTGTTTTGGATAAATCAATTTTCAGACGACACAATTAAGACTCCTGTGAGACGTCAAAATCAGGGACCTGCAACTGACTTCCTTCTAACGATTCTCCCTCACAGTCGTATGCTGATGTGACAGTAGCCGTGTTTTTATTAAAGTGTCGCAATAAAAATCCATCGACTGGTTTGGAGCGAATAAACTCAGCTACAGTGTAGTTTAGTCAGAAGGTGGCGCTAAAGGCTCCACATCTCTGTAATCTACCAGTAAACACAGTAGAAGAAGAAGAAGGTTGTGAAGAGGACACTAAACAAGTCTCCTTCTAACCATCTACAAGAGGAACATGGAGAGAGAATTAGCTTTAATGGTTCTTTCATGTGAGCTGGTGTCGTCCATGTTTCAGAAACAGCTGATCGGTCATGTGAGTTCATGATCCATTTAGAGCATCAACTGACAAAAAAACACTTTAGTCCAGTGTAAACGTGCGCAGATGAGGAAGTTTTATAGAATTCTGCTGTTTCCATACAACTTAAAAATGTGCTTAAAAATACGTGGAAACACTTTAAGAAAAATAAAACACTCGGAGTTCTTGAGTCTCATCTTAAAGTGCATTTTATCCTCTCAACGCCCTCCCAGACAACACTAAGGCTCAGTCTGCAGGTTTGGATATTTGGAGAGCCTATCCTCTCAGGCGATTAGAGACATTAGCCACATTGGAGGCGGAGAAGAAGAACAAACCTCAGAACACTAACATCATTTAAAACCCTGTCAGTGGAGTTAAAGCACACGTCAGTCATCAGGAGGAACTTACTTTTCTGACCTCCGTCAGACAGACGACACAGCTCGTCTTACCTTGAAGAGGTGATGTCTCTGCTCCTCTGACATCATCAGCTGGTGACTGTCTGTTACCATGGCGTCCATGTCCATCAGCCAATCCCAGAGCTCCTGGTACTCTGCTTCAAACTCCTGCAGACTGAAGACAGAGAGAGAGAGAGAGAGACGGAGATTATTGAGTTGAATTATTGGTGTAATTCAATTTTCTTTTCTCTTTTATTCACATTGTGTTTCCGCCATGTTCTACTTTCCGCTGTTGTTTCTTGTATTATTGTAATATTGTTTTGTCCTGCGGCGATAGCAGACACATATGCGTCTTGTTATGTTGATAAAGAATGCGGCTAAAAATGCAAAGTGGAATGAGAGAGAGACAGATAAAGGCAGACTCACTCAGAGAGAGGAACTCAAACTCAAATACTTGATTTACGTCTTGTTCCTCGATTGCGTCCGGCTTCTCTTGTGAGGACAGAAGTTCCTGTGATGCTGGTTCTGCAGGTTTGCACCAAACGTAAGGTTTTACACCTGTGGTTCACTTCATTTAGTTCCAGACATCATCTGTGTATCTGGCCACTTTCCAAAAACAGACATTTACTCCCACTTCATGCAGTGATTGTCCGAGGTAGGTTTGAACTCTCCTGTTCAGTCTTTTTAACAACTATTTCTGCCACTTTGTGAGTGCAACACGATAAACGTCTTCCAGGAGAGACCGTCTAAAGAGAGCACCACTATCAGCCTTTCTCTAGGCTGATAGTGGTTTGGAAGAGCTATGAACGATTTCGTCATCGGACACGTCGCACAAACAACATCTTTTCCGGCAATCGTTGAACTGCAACTTCACCTCATCTGTCAAAAGTACTGAGAGACGACGGACAAGGGGTCGAACCAGATACAAGAGAACTAATGTTACCATTTATTCACTGTTTGACTCAAAAGTCGGATTGTTCTGGCTGAGACTCCCCGTTGGAGCTGGTTGTGGACACTCTGGTCAATGCTCGTGATTCCACCAGACAAAATAATAATGAGCATGAATGTACTATTACTGGACTTGTAAGGGAATACACTGTGTCTGCAGGCTACAGCACAACAAAGTAGGAAACAACAAAAATAAACACAATTAATACAGACCAAAAAAAACAACCATTAAACGACGTAGTCGACTTATTAATAAAGCCCATAAAGCACAAATATTAAACTACTTTTCACTTTCTCATGTAGAAAGAAAACTACACACACACACACACACGGCAGTAAATTCTCTTAATTATATAGATCAGCACATTTTTAGCTGCTTAGTATTTAGATTCATAAAATATAATTTCTTAATAATTCTGAAGGGACGTGGACTTTGAAGAGACTCACCATCATCATCTCTTTTTACTTCCTTCCTCTCAACTTCCTGTTTCATCCTTCCTTCCTCCTCCTCTCTCTTCCACATTTCACCTCCACCTCATTCTCCCTTCCCTCTCAACCCCCCCCCCCCCCTTGCTCCCCCTCCCACATTGTCCACATTCTTTTGTTCACCTCCTCTTCCTCACCTTCCTCACCTTCCTCCTCTTCTTTTCCCACATTATTTTGCCTCCCCCTTTTCCGCCTCACTCCTCCCACTCTCACCTCCTCCTTCTCCGCGACACAGGATCACATCAAATATTTATGCTGGTGGAACAGGGGCCGATTGCTCAAACACACACATTACTGTCAGCCGTTTTGTTGAGGTGTGTGTGTGTGTGTTTATTATTTATATATTCGGGGGTTTTCGGTCTCGGCGGGGATCGCCAACATGTTTCTCAACATTAGCAGTGAAATTGTTTGGAATTCTCCGGTCGCTGACGACGACAGTTTGACAGCTCTGTCAGGCCCGCGGCGTTTCCACGACAACACACACACACACACACACACACACACACACACACACACACACAGACTAGTCGCTCATGAAGACACTCTCTAAAGCATCTAACACATGAAAACAATGACTGAGAAACACAAAACAACCCAAACAAACGCCCACTGATAACATGCATGCACACACACACACACACACACACACACACACACACACAGCTACCCAGAATGCAACGCACACAATAAACACTAAACAAGTACACACACACACAGTAACTTGACCTGCCATCAAAGCAGAGACAGCAAACTATGAATGAAATTAAAGAAACAAGAGAAAAAAACAAACACTTCCATCTCTTCCTGTTTCACTTTGATTCTTCCTGAAGCTTCAGACTGATTCGCTGACGCTGAACACAAAACATGTTTACGCTTTTATACCTTTAATATAATACCCATAATTCCCTCACACTTACCGTAACCCTCAAACTAAGTCGTAATCCTTATAAAGACCTTTGGAGAAGTGAGAAACCAGAGAAAATGTCCTCCACAGATTTCAAAATGTTAAAATTTTCCTAAAATGTCCTGACTCTCCAAAACTTCCTTCAATTTCCTGGAAAGTCCTCTTCTTACTGAATGTCCACACTTATTGAATATTTCGTCATCTCTTTTCCAAAATTGTCGACAAAATTCCACAATTTCCACATATACGATGATGTCCTCACTGCCCTAAAATGTTGTCACGTCCAGAAACCTCCTCACATTCCAAACCGTCCACATTTCTTAAAATCAGAATCAGCTTTATTGTCCATGTATGCATTCATGGACTTTGACTCTGGTCTTCACTTTGGTCTAAACGTACATACACAAGTTTACAAATAAACAAGTTAATATGTTATTGCCTTCCAAAACTGTCCTCACTTTCTAACATGTCTTCACTTTACTTTTCACGCTTCTACCCGTCTCTCAACTCTTCTACCCGTCTCTCAACTCTTCTAC